CAATGAATAAGGTTGAAATTCACAAAAAAAAATGTTCTTAAAAACTTCGCTCCATCAAATATATATTTAACTGTACAGCTCTTCTTAAAAGAGAAACCCTTGGTTTAAGAGTTCACCAAGCTGTTTTTAATTATATAGAAACGATGACTGTTTATTCTCTTAGTTGATCTCTTGTTGACCTCAGGATCCTAACTTATTGCTTAAAAAACATATTATAGATGACTATGAGAAAAATTTAATTCTGACAAATATTGATATTGTTACCCTATTGTATTATATTTTATTTTAATGTAACATAAGTTTGTTTTGTGCAATATAGTTTATATAATTCTCTAGTTTGAAATATTATATACTTTTTGTAAATTAATATATGGAACCATATAATAAAAAGTATCATGATGCTCTTTTGTTCAATAAATCAGGGTAAATTAAATATTCGATAGATACCCTAGAGGTAAAGGATACTAAATCCATTTTTTCATGAAATAAATTATTAACTAAAAAAAAAAAATTAATGGATCAAAGTTTTGGAAAATTGGCTTCCTGGACAAATACGAAAATATGACTTGGTATTTTTTTAGCTCTGGAGTATAGATTTAGTAATAAGAAAATAATTTTAATAGCTAAAATTTATTTGACATTGGCTCTCTCCCTTCCTCCCTAAACAAATACAAAAATGGGTATGATGTTCCTTACCTCCGGGGTATAAGTATTAAGGGAATATAAAAATTGTAAACTGATAGTTATCTTTAAGGAATCAGTGCGCTTATTACCTAAAACCTCCTAATTTTTTTATTTTTATAAAATTAATTTATTTTTTCTAATACACCAAAATATTTGTTTAATATAATCAATTTAGAGACAAATTAATACTATAATACTGATAGATATTATAATAATATACAGGAGAAACAAGGGATTCTTGTTATTTCATTAACAAGGTGTATTGGTCCTTTTTGTCCGTTTTATTATTATATTGCGTGCGGATAACGCTTAGGTGTTTTATGTCCGTGTTGTAGTCGTATGTCTTCATGCCCCGGATGTCATTAAAACAACTCGACCATGACGGAAACTTGGTTTTTCCTTTTTTTTTTTCTTTTTTTTTTCATATTTTATCCTTAAATATCCAAGTTACTTAAGGGGAAAATATTAATTAGTATTAATATTTTCTTTTGCATTGTAATGTGCAATAAATTACTTGATAAGTTGAGATAATTCGAAGTGAAACGAACTGATGCACTTTTCCCAAGTACCGTCTTTATAATTAAATCGTATATTAAACTGCAGCTCGAGTTAATGTTTTTCATTATTCATTCATAAGGATTATAAATAATTAATTTTTTTCACTCATTATTAAAAAAATTACAACATCGACAGCAGTTAACCAGGCGAACAAGTGTTGTATCCTAGCGTTATTAATCATTCTAATCTTGATTAATATGAACTGAGTGGGTATACATCTGAAACAAAAATAAAATTCTTTATTTAGCATATGTAAATCATGTTTTTTACAATTGTAAATGAGCACTAATAGTCTGTCATTAGGTTGAAAAATAAACGCATGGATGTTTTTATTTATTTGAAACTTCCTTATTCTCCTTCTTATCTCAAGCCACTTCTCAAGCGAGTGCAACCTTCAACGGTTTGATCCAACTTATTTTTATGTGTCAGCTCAAGTATAATCAATTGCTTCTGAGGGTTTATTTTCTTCTCCTTTTTTTTTTTTTTTGGCAATTATAATGTTTATTTATAACCCGTCTTGAAAGATTTTAAAAAATCTGGATATAATTTTTAATATGTTTCATGTACGATTATGTGTCAGTACAAAGTTGTATGAAAAATATGTAATCACCTGCTCCTTTTTTTTAGCCATATCTTTTTTATCGATACCTGTCAGAAGTACTGATAATTAGTGAGTCTTCTATCTGAAAAATACTAATAGTGGCTTGATCGGAAGGAAAGCCTTCTTCTTGACTTGACTTAGATGAGGAAATCCCTCATCCAGCTTCTTTTGAGCCTCAGAAGCGCGTTTTCGGGCATGTTCATCGAGGCCATGTCTTGTATCAGTGTGTTAGTATGTCCATGTAAATTAATGTGAATTTTTTTTATACTGTCTGCGTACGTGGTCGTTAACTGTTGGAAAGTTTAGATCTTTATGTTAAGTAATGTTTGTGACGTACCATGGAGCTTTAGTTATATTCCTAAAAGGTTTTAACTGAAAGGTTTGTTGTTTACGTATGTTGGTCGTTTGGGCTGTTTCGTATATTTCAGAATCGTAAGTTTATATAGGCTTTAGTAGATAAATGCAGGTGTTCAGCTTCTGTTTTATTTTTAATTTTAAGTGTATTGAAAGAAGGGAGTATAATAGTAGTAGTATGAGGTTTGATCTTTTTTTTTTTTTTTTGTATATGTGGGTCCCATATCATTCTTCTCTTAAATGTCAGTCCAAGGTATTGCACTTGATCAGTTGGCGGAATTTCAGCATTGTCAAGATAAATAGAAGTGCATGTTTCACGCCTTAGAGTAAATGTAATGTGTTGTGATTTGTCTTGGTTGAGTCAAACTATCCAATATTCTTTTCTATCATGTATAGATTCTACTTGTGACGTAAGTAATTTCAGAAAGATAATTTGGTAATTAATTTGAACAATTTTAAATATGAAGATATTCATAGACATACAAATGTTGTTTTTTACAGTCAGGTTTAGGTACATTTAGGTAAATGTTTATATTTTACTTATTTTGAATTAAATAAATAAAATTATGTTTTGCATTGTTATAATGTCTATATATATTATGCAAGTCATTGATTCTAGAGGCGATTTTTTCCATCTTACAGTGCCTTTAAGGAGAATTGCGTACGAGGATTTTTATGTAAAATTAGAGAATTATAATTGCACCGAGTCACTTTTATGCATTCTTTATGCATCCATGAATATTAAATATAATTTAAAAACGTAACTAGCTATTCGCAGTTATTCTCAATGAATTCATTAGGAATTTTACTAAATTTTTCATTGTGTTTATTTTAATAATTATACAAAACATACATAATTGTCAACCCTTTACAATTATATAACGTTGCGTTACAGAGAACCCTCATGTTTTATACGAAATATTTACTGTTGAATTATACACGATGTCAGAATTCAGAAGGGCTTGGTACCTAGATCAAAGGTTCTTAAGTGTTTGACAAGTTTCACAGTCTTTATCTAATCTTCCTTATCGGGAACATTCATTCGCCTATCTGTCTCGCAGGAGTGTTTCAATTTTGAAATTGTTTTTCATGTTTGCTCTACTTATGTTAACACGAAATACATATGTCATTCGCTATTCTAAATTCGCCTAAAAAATATTTTTAAAAAATATCTGCTCTAAATTCGCTAAAAAACTATTTACAATTACTATTTTTCTTGATTTTTCTCATGAAGATGATTTTTAATTATAAAGTATCTTGGGATTTTTTTATATTAAGTATTTTTGCTTTGGCGTGAAGAATGGAAAGGCATATCCGTACTAATGATAATAATGAGAAAAAAAAATAAGCAAAATATTTTGACTAAATTAATCGGTATAACCAAGATACTTTAGCATTTAACTCATCCAACTTTTTATTCCGTCTTAGTTAGGTTTCTCCTACCTGAAAAATTACAGTTATATCTCTATAGTCATAGGCTATTAGGTAACTGGAAGACTGTGCTTCATAGAAGCAAATTTTTTTTTTCCATGCCTTTTTCCTGCGCATATTTCTTAATATTTTGTTTGTATTATCGGAGGCTTTGGGAAGAAATAATTTTTTTTTCCAACTTAACATGTGTGCTACTGAAGTTTGCCTTCAGGTTGGCAACTACATGAGGTCAAGCTATATATTAATTTATTAGGCTTAAACCTTTTTTTTTTTATTTGAAAATCAATACATTCTGCCGCATTGGAGGGCATTAATATTAGGGCTACATTAAGCATCCACTCAATATATACATACAAATGATAACTAAAATAGAGATAAAAGAAAAAGAGTTGTAGAAAGTAAAATAAGAAAATTAATATACATAGGTAAAAAAAAAGAAAAAAAAAAGAGAGAGAAACTAAATGAAATTAAAATATATAAAACACATTCACACCTATATACAATATTAAATTCGCCCAGAGGATTCCGATTCATGCTTTGTCTCCCAAATGGGGAAGCCAAGGCAGGACCTCAGGAGATCCCAGTGCTTCTCTCCCAGCCGCGTCACTGGTATTGCAAGCCGGTGGAGACTGATGGAGGGCACTAGAGCAACAGACGCTCAGGACGTGAGTGGAGAATCTGACCATTGCCAGTACTGCAATATATACATATTTACAAACGGTCGCGGGGCCACTGCTGTATTAACCTCCGGGGAGGATTGTTCGGAGGACTTTAGACTGGAAGGATTGAATGCGCATAATGTTAGAAGGTTTTGTTGAACCCCACAGCTCTAGTCCGTAGGTCCAGATAGGTTTCAGGATTTTCTTGTTGATTAGTAGTTTGTTGTCGATTGATAGTAGAGATTTTTTATTTAGTAGTCTATATAGCTATCCGTTTCGTCTGTTAAGTTGTTGTCTTTTAAGTCTGGTATGTGGGTTCAACATTAGTCTTTTTAACAACTTTAGATCTCTATTCTATTTGTGATAAAGATGTCTGCAACTGCAATAGTCTGCTACTGTGAAAAATAACAGAGAGATATATAAGAAATCTTCCAGATAAATCATTAAAGAAATTTCAGTTTTCATGATCTTTTTAAAAAAAATTCAATTTTTCCGTACGACCTTTTGCACTAAAAGCAGCGATATGTACGAGTATTTATAGCTTGTTTATAAATCCATGTTACTTACTATATTCTTCTAGGTTCTATCTACGTCCTTTATCCTTCATCTTCTATCTTCTCTTCCAAGACCTTGCATCTTCCCTTCGCCTTCTTAGGCTACGTTCCTCTTTCTATACAACTTGCTGACGATTGCATTGTTTTTTTTTTTTGCAGAGAAGCCCGTCCCGAGAGAGCGGATCGCCCAGATCGCCGCCTAGCTCCCGCTGCTGCGACACCGGACGGCCACTGTTCACGGACCCGCTGACTGGCCACACGGTTTGCTCCTGCCAGTACCAAGACATGCTGGCCTACCAGAGGCTACCTGCCCTCTACCCCTCGCCCTACCCCCCGGAGGTGGCCGCCTACTTCCCAGCAGCCGCCGCCGCCGCCGCCGCCTCCCTCCCCGACCAGCCGCCCTTCTACCCCGCCGTAAGTACATACATTGATTTATAATATAGTAATAAATAATATTAAAATTAATTATATAAGGTAAATTTACCAGTGATAGACATCGGAATAGTTATTAATAGACAGTTTTGAACCCATTAAAAAAACGCTGCAAATTATTTCACAATTATATATTACACTACAACAATTGTTACCATCTAGTTACTACAGTTTAGGATCTTTTTACTCTGTTTATATTTCAATGTACTTTCTTATTCACATTGTTTATAATTTTTTTCGGAATATTATGTAACTTCCACAATTCTCTATATCTTTTTCGTACTCATGTATCTTGTCCGTTCTAGCCCTGAAAAAGCCTGCAAAGTCGGGTGGAAACGTTGCTATTTAATATTTTTTATAGTTTTTTTAATATAATAATAGTTTTGCCACTATTTAGCCTATTTATGACCGCCACCCAGGATCATAAGTAAAAGTTATGACGACCAAACAGATCTACAAGTCCTGTAAAGTGTTATAAAAAAAACCTAGTGAATGTGCTAATATAAATAGGGTTGTAGCTAGAACATTTAGAAGAGTAATGCCTGAAACTTATGTGGTATCAAGCCAATAGCCAGATCATGCTAATAGATTTTTTAATGGAACAAACCTATGTGTTTGTTTCAGGGAGGATTCCTTATCGCTTTTCTTTAGGAGACAACTTTAAAATTTTAGAGGAACTTCAATTCATTTTCATTTGAAATTTGCCACTTCTTATTTAAAAATTGAGGAGAATTTATTTAGGTTTTTTTTTTTTTTAATTATATAAAATAACTGTTGTCCCTAATACCAGGATGTTTATTAGGGTATACAAGTTGTCAGATTCTTTTAAGTAAATCCATAAAAGAATTTGTTGACAATTAAACCCATTTACAAAGATCCACCATAAAAATAAAAGCTGTGGTTCACATTAATGTTAAAGGTTTATCTGAAAGTCTTTATTACCGGCACATTTACCTTAACAAATATCTTCAGAGAATGTAGTTATACATATTATGAGGAAATGTGTTTAATTTATTACAGTAATAAATATCAATATAATTTAATTTTAATTCAGTATCTGGGTTGATCATGTGGTGTAATATGGCATTAATTGTTATAGCTGTGCAATAGTATTAAACTCTTCTTCGTAATTCGTTCCAAGTATATACTACGTTGGAGAACCATTTTTTATTACACTATAAACAAACACATACTACATATTATATTTTTATATTACATTCTATTACGATTAAGAACATTATGATAGCAATTAGCAATTATGATAAGATATTTCAAAACGTACAGGTTCTGATTATTTCGATATTTGATCTGTGAACAACATTGAAGCTCGAACTGCAAATCTGATATAACAGTAATTGAAAGGATGTCTAATGCTCAAGATTTGATGCGTATTATATCTCAGCAAGTTCCATCATTGTCCCGGGGTCAGAGTCGGTAAAAATTAGCAATTTAAAGTTCGGTAGGACAAGTTCCGGTAGTAGTTGCAAATTGGTGACAAGGGACCGGAAATCGAGGTTTCGTATTTAACATATGAACAGTCATCAGGAAGTCATATGTTTATATAAATTATAAATATGCATTGTTTGAATACGTTTGACGTTGTGATATTATAGTCGAGCAGTTTCCAGTCGCTCAGAATCATGGAAGCAATGACCAGATGTTAATTAGAACCCGTTTACAAGCCGTTAATGCTCAAATATGCATGAAGATGGATGCATTATTCATAACTACACTTATTAATTTATCATTTAACTATTAACAATCAGTAATGAGACAAAGTACACTGTAACTGCTCCGTTTATCAATTACAGCTGATGTTGGAGTATATATTTCGTTATTTAATAAGGTTCATAAATTACATTTGGGTACTTATTTACTTTTCTGTAGCACGAGCAGTTTTTAACTTTTTCCGTTGTAATATTCGTACACTGGCAATTAGAGTTGTCCAAATGCGAGACCGAGACGAGTCTTGGTCTTGCAAACTCAGTCTTGGTCATGGTCTCGGTCTTGCCCAAGAGTCTCGCAACAGTCTTGCAGTTACTTATTAGCTTATTACTATATTACTGTATTTTTTTAGATAGGAGAAACCTAACTAAGCCCGAATGAAAAATTAGAGGAGTTAAATGCAAAAATATATTGGTTATACCAATTATTAATATACAGGAACTAAGATTGTCAAGTATTAGTAACTATTTTGCCTTAATTGTTATTTAAAATTTTTTTTTACCAGTTCTGGTCTTGGTCTTGCAACAGTTAGGCGGCCTTGGTCTTGGTCTTGCAAGGTGCGAAACCAAGACCGATTTTGGGCAACACTACCGGCGATTCATAGAGAGAGGCGGGAAACTTACGGGCATAAGCCCTCCAAAATTATTTTTTTTACTGGAATATATTTGTCTCTGTGATTTGAACTAAAGATTTACACAATTGCAATGTGTACTCTTTTAAACTTATGATTCATATACAGCTACAAAATGCATGAGGGGGCAAGCAAAAAATTTAAAACAAATTTTTTTTTGTTATTTATTTATTGTGATTTTGTTTTGAAATGCATTCGAGGGCCATTTAAATATCTGTTTGTGTAGTTTCTTTCTTTTTTCTTCCAGAGTAAATACCTTCATGAAAAAAATAAAATAAACCGACTCCTTCAAATTAAATCTTTCCGCTAACTATATGTATACATATAATGGAATATAATGGGTTGCATATAAACATATATGGATAAAGGTACGTGCTCACTTATCTTACAAATAATATTTATTTAAATTTTGTAAAGCATATTACGATAATTACGGAAAGAAATGTTTAAGAAAATTAATTTAAACAACAATATAACAATATTTCTCAAATTTGAGTTTGCTTAAAATTTTTCAAATTATGTATTATTTTCTTTTATTTCTTTACATGATTAAAAAGTATTGCTATGTTTTTTCTATTAGGTAGTATTTCTATTCTATGTCTATTTCAATTAGGTATTAAGTGACTTCCTATTGACATCAAATCTGCTGTTGAATGATATTGTCTTTCCCGCAATGAAGCATCCTAAGGATTCCAATATCTAACTTAAATTCAAATTAATTCTAAAATTAAAATTGTCGTTTGACTGATTTGTTTTGTTCTCTACTAACAAGTTTGACTCTAAAACAGATTCCCTATACTGAAATGTATTGTTCGCCTTAATTTTATTGAGGTGGTACTTTCATCCGTATTTAGTTCTTTAAATAATTCCGTAAACTATTACTACTCTATGGATAGATTTTATAAATAACATAATGATTTATCATTAATTTTTTTTTAATTGTACTGATATACTCGAATAATATTTCAAACAAAACAATGTGATTGATCTTTTGCTGCTTAGAATCAATTATGAAATTAATATAATGATCATACTTTATCTTAGCTTTTATTAATAATTGAATACAGTCATACCAACAGACTTTCCTTACGCAATGAGGGCCTTAGAAACGGTAGCAGTTGGCTAGCCCTGTGATTTACGCCAGTGCTTAAGATGCTAAGCTAATATAGCTGCCCAGAATTGAGCTAGTAGGGACTCCAGCTTACAGCAATTAGTAACACTTTTAGTAGAGCTTAGGTCTTCTTAGTAGTCGTATTCCTTCTCTTAATATTCTTAAGCCCAACTTAAGCAACCTTCTCCTACATTATAAGTCCCTCTGTCGAAATTTACGCCCACTTCTCTGCCGCGACGTGCTTCGTTGATTTTCGTTTTTCTTTTCGTGACTCCTCAGCTGTAATATTTAGATATTACAAAAGCAAGATTATCATTTAAAAGATAACAAAGATAAATCAACATTTCTTTATTATAAATATAATATCTACAATCTGATAAGTTAATAAAAAAATAAAATTATTTTCCTCGTATTATGTTAAGATATTATATTAAATGAGATTTTCTTTTGGCTCATTTTAGTTTCCTTCAACTTTTAAGAACCATATTAAATACAATACATTTAAAACAGTATTTAAATATGATGAAAATTTGATTTTTTTTAGTTAATTTACTTTACAGTATAGATCAGAGATGGTCAAATAGTCAATTGTAGAACAATTTACAGCCATCAAAGTCGGCTAAAATCAAATTATCAAGAAAATGTATTTTTACAAAAAGAATTTAAGTATTCAGACAAATTTCTGTTTCGCTTAAATTTGAAGAAAAACTTCGATAGACTTCTATTGAAAATCGAAAGACTTCGAGTGTGAAATTAGAAACGCGCCGATCAAGGAAATTCTCACGATATTTCTTCAGTGAAAATCGAAACTATGGCGTTGAATTATTAATATTTTTTAATTCGTATTGTAATTCGATCTGCAGTTTTCGTAACGTTTTCGGCTGTTTTTTTTTTCGGAGTATTGTTCCAACAGTACCTAATAATGAATTAAGTGAAAACTGTTGATGTTCAAATTTCAAATGATATTAAGGTTATATAAGATCCAGAATTATTTTCAAATCGTCAGTTATTGCAAACTTCATTAAATGAAATTTCATTACTTTAAATCACTAAAAACATAAATGAATTTTCACTCATCGATGAATCAAAAACTTTTGCATTTTTGGTAACCTTATTTGATACATATAACATGAAGGTTTGCGTCATGTTAGTGACAAGTTCTTAAAAGTTCGGCTCCATCGAAAATGTACTTATTTACATATATATACACACTATATTGGAATCTTAAAAATTAAATATAAAATTCATTTTGATTGATTTCTCTAATATAATGTTTGAAAGCATGGTAGATATCTTTTCTTCAAATTGAAAATTGCTTTTAATTTGCATTTAAGGTTATTTATTATCTGCTATATATTCATAATCATATTAGTCTTCTTCCTTACGATTTTCAATTCTTTGTGCTTACCTAATTTTCTAATGCTAAAAATTTAAGTGTGAAATGGTCGGTTCTCTAGAAATTCGAACAATTTAAGCACGACTAATAAAATGTTGAAGATTTAGGTATTTGCCTGT